GTATAGCATACTGATCAAGTTCACAACCTCTCAAACAAGTGGATGATAAAGGCTTAAATAAGAGACAAGTGATGTGATTTTAGGGCTCTAGGAGGATCAAAATTCGTTAGCAGAATTTGAGATTCTCTGGGAGCTGTGAGCAAGAACATTTTGGGGTGGCCTGTATTTATTTGGTTTTCAAACAAAGGGAGGGGATACAAAGGAAAATGCAGAAACTGAATTAGGCCTTGGGGGTTAGTACAAAATCTGCCCTAGGTAGTAAATTATGCTATTTAGGAGAACTGGCTTATATCCAGGTTGACATTAACATCAGGAATAAGACTCCTGCACCTAAGGTCTCCATCTACTAAATTTGGTTTAAAGCCAGGCATCCTCAGCTATGGCCTTGTCTTATCTTTGAAGATTCCTGACATCACAGGCCACTACAAGCTTCAGCTGGAACCAGTGATTCATAGAGTTTCATTTACTATGAATCAACTATTAATTTCCAGACCAGGGGCCTAGGCCTGTGACAGAACCACAAGTAAACATAGAAAACCAATTGATTAATTTCAAATCTTACTGAGAGCCACTTCATAGTGGTCTCCATCACTGAGGGACACACATAAAAATACACTCATAAATATCATAAGCATTTTTTCCTCTTTAAATTTTCTGACACCAGACATGAACTATATGTCCCTAACTAGAAAATATCTTCAAATCAATGATTAAAGTATTATTTATTTAGGGAAAGATTTTCTTAGAGATTCATAGACACTTCTCTTGATGTTACATTGACATTCTTTGGCTGACATCACTAATACAAAAGTAACTTTCCTAGAGAGGAACTATTGAAGCCATAGCTAAACTAAGTAATGGTAACTTGCTTCACAAATTAAACTGAAGAGACTGATGCAATTGCTCTCCTTGGAAATTTCCTGCCATTATCTTCCTCCCTGGAGGGAGTACAACATTCTCTTGGTGCAAAAGGCTAGATGTTATTCTTAGTAGAAATTAATTTTCCCATCAGGTGATTCACTTTCTCCCAGGAATACAAACTTCTTTAGTTTACACTTTGTTCATTAATTTCATAGTCGTATTAGCTCCTTGCAATCTGGGACTACATTTCCTATGTAATTATTCTCTGTTTGGAATTAATACTGAAAGATTAAGGAATGTGACATTTTCTCTTTGCTCAAGCCTCAGCCAAGGAACTGCATTAAAATGTAAAGAAAGGAAAATCCTATGAATGGCAGTGGATAAAGATCCATTTTAAAAGTGGATATCTGACCTTAGGAGTCATCAAGAAGATTGCATGCACTCTCTAATACAACAATGATAAATGAGATTCAGTATTTGTGAACATTTAAAATAGAGGGACGATTCATATATTGAGTGTGCAACACTCATGCACATTACAAACACACACACACACATTCATGTATTGCTAAACTTGGTTCCATAAAAAGATAAATAATTGTATAAGTATACCCAAAGAAATGCATATGAACATTCACAGTAACATTATTAATATTAATAAGTGTAAACAACTAACTTCACCATTATCAAAATTAGAGAGGATAATTGATGATATTTTTGCTCAAACTGGTACTGCAAAGCACTAACAATATACAACTACATGCACAAAGTTCACATAGTTTGCAATAAGATTACAAAGGCTGAAGTAAGATTCAAGAGTCAAATAATGAGAAATATATTGAGAAATGTCATATTGATATCAGGATAATTGAAACTTTCCCAGATAATGAATTCATTCAAAGATGCACAATTTTCCCCATTCTTTTTAATTTTGATTTTTGCAGTACCAAACAATGATGAAGAGTATAATAAGTAAAATTTACATCATTTGCCTCAGCCAAACACATAGAATCTATAAATTAGAAAAAAATAGCTATTTCCAGAAAAAAATTAGTTCTATAATAAATCCCTGAGACGATCTCTTTAGAAAGAGCAAGATTTACTTCAGTTTGATTGTAGGGACTTCAGCCATCATCATTCAGCACTTTTGATTTGAGCCTGTGGCAAGTTATCACATGATACTGGGTGTGCATTACAGTTAAAGCTGGTTACCAATTAGCATCTGGGAAGTAAACAAGAAGAGAGAAAATATGTGCCAGGGTCTCAATGACACAGTGAAGGACACATTAACATATGATGGGGAAACCCCTAACTATCCCACATCTCAAATAGGTCCAACACTTCTAAGAGCTCCCTAAGCACAAGAGCCTCTCATGTGACTTACCCAATTTAAAAGAGGTATAAGTTGTGTGTCCACTACTATGATATCTCTGATATTCAGGATTCAAAGAAGCTACCATTTGAACAGTGCTATTCTTAAGTACATTTGGTTTTCTCAATCCCATGCTACCTACCTTATATCATTGCTATGTATATTTCAGATTAAAAAGAAAACCAACATAATCCAATATTACAGATAAACTTTATGTAATTCATCATTTTCAAGCTTATGTCAATACTGTACTATTATCTCTCCTTGAACTGTATATTTTTTATTAGTTTCTCTGTCTCTCTCTTTCCCCTCCACTGTGTCCTTTTTTATTTTTGGTACTTAGGTTGAGCTCAGTAAATTCACACTGAGTTATATTTTTCACCTGTCATTGTCAATTTGTTTGTTTTAAATCTGAGCCAACTTTTCTGTAATTTTCTAAGTAGCCTAGGATGGGCTGACATTTACCATCCCCAGCCTTATGTTCCTGAAAGTTGGGATTAATGGTATGGACCACTATACCTGCTTCTTCTGGCTTCAAGTTCATCCAGAAATGTTTCACACTGGGAATATCACAGTGGCAGAAAGAACACTAAGACAACCCAAGGCTCCTGCCTTGTAGCGGTAATGATTAATTAGGAAAGTCAGTGTGTCTTATGTTGGACTTCACATACATAGATATACCCACAGTTTCTCAACTAGTTCATTTAGTGCTTGAATGATCAAAAAAAGTATAGGAAACAAAGGAAAACATCAAGGTAATAAATGAATGTTTGAAATTCTCAAAAATAATATTCATATCTTTTAGATACTTTATTTTTCTTTTCATACCCATTTAATATATATTTGCATATAATATATATTACATGTTAATACATTATACTTTATATTATATAAAATATACAATATTATATATGGTAATGTGTGTGCCAGTATATGTAAGTATTTTTTATAAGATTGACACATATATTCTCAGGGAATTTTTGTACATTGATATCTTGTAAATATTAAAATATGCATGTTGTATTTATTGTTGCAAGGATTTAATGTTTTGTGTTCCCCCAACATAGTGTAAAAATTTTGGAAAACAAAGATGAAAGGTATAGCTCTAGGATAAAAAAGAACTGAAATTATTTTTAAAAATAATTTTATTAGTACAATTTAGATATATATGATGTTCACATTGATTATAGTGAATTTGTACCTGTACACTATATATCTAAGTTTCTGCTTTTTCCTGACTCTTCAAAACAAAGATCATTTTATCATATGATACATAATGCCTAAAGCAATAAGCAAAAATAATGATTTAAGGGAAATGGTTGTGAATAGTAAACACAAGTCTTCAACTATGGAGAATATGACAAAGAAAGAATGAACAGAAACAGGCAATGAAATTCAATTGTTGCAGAATTCAGAAGTAACTCACCAGAGACTTTAAAATTCCTTTTTACAGACTAACCTATTGATACTACTTTCAATTCGTAATTCATCTGTCTAGCACTATTTACCTCATTATTTCTATACTTAGCAATACTCTTGGCTAACATTGCTTCCCTCCTTACATGTATCTATGTAGATCTGAGACTTAACATCTGAATTTGTGAAAGATGCATTTAGCTGTGAACACTTTCTCTGGATAATAACCAAATTATCATCACTTCAATATTGTTTACAGCCATATGGTGAATTGCTTGCTTATTTTAGCTCATTTTTATTCCTTCTGTTAGAATATAAATTTCACTGGTAAATAAACTGGATTTGCCACAACATACAGAGTGTCAAGAGGCAATTAATAACCACTTAGTACACCTCAGTATAGCTTGAGATTAAATGAAAACATGTAAAATGCACCTTTGGTGCAATCAAGAAAATCAGGGAAAAACTTACCACAGGGAAGAGTCACAAATCAATTAATGATAAAAGTGAGACATGACATAAGTGGAGACCTGCAACATTTTCTTACTATGGAACTCGTTTAAATGTTTGTTTCAGTAAGTTATGCTGCATGCCAAATTCAGTATACATAATGTAATGTAATTTTTCAAAACAATAATTATTCTAACAGCATTGCATGCAGATAAAATACAATCAGATAAAACCACTTAATTGGTGTTAGTTTTGTATGGTCTCTTTCACATCCTTGTTCCTCAGGCTGTAAATCAGAGGGTTCAGCATAGTAATAACCAGAGTGTAAAACAATGAGGTCATTTTCCCTGATCTGGGGAGCAGGCCGATCTGGGGTGCAGGTATATGAAGAGCATGATTCTCTGGAAGATGAAAACTGCAATGAGGCACAGGTGGAGAAAGCTTGGAGCATTCCCTCAGCAAAGCAAATCTGCATGACTCACAATATGATATAATAATAGGAAGTAAGGACCTCTGAGAGAGTACTCAGCTCAGAGAATCCAAGAACAGTAAATAAAGCCAGCTAATTGACTTGTGGGTCAGCACCACAAAGGAGAAAAAGGAAGTAAATCACAGAAGAAAGGATGAGTGCCAGCAGGTAAACTCCATGAGGAGGGAGCAGAACCTGCTGGACATATGGGCCATATAGAGCAATGTAGGGAGCCGAGTGACAGGCATTGCTGCCTCAATGTCTCGCTCTCTCCTATGGGCACTGCGTCTGCCTACATTAACCATAATCCTCTCCTGCTTATGTCACGTATCCGGATGTGACGGTGACCCTGTTGTATTCATCTGTTTAACCTCTTCCTGTCCCAGATCCCGCCCTTAGCCTATAAAAGGTGTGATTATTTTCTGAATAAACCGGAAGCTTGATCGGATTATTTCGTCTTGCTTTCGTCTCTCTTTTGTCTCCCCTATGTCTTTTATTTAATCCCCATTTCCCCTCCAGGAGCTCTGAACTTGTTGATCTGCAGGCTGGATCAAGTGGCGCTCAGCGTGGGAGCTCCTGGCACGGAGAAGTTAACGAGGGAGGGAGCCGTTCGAGAGACAGCTGGCTTAAACTGAAAGTGAAAGCGAATTGAACCAGAGACCTCGGCCGAGGAATGAGTAAACTAAATCAAGGATTAAAGCTTAAAGCAACAAGACATTAAATTAAGTACTGAGACCTGCACAGACGACTACCCGACGTCCTGCCCGAGTCACGGTGAGTGAACGGCAACCCCATTTCCCTTCCCGGACATAGGTCAAGTATTGAGCGAACACGAAGTGTTTGTCGGAGGCCTTATAAAGGCATGAAAGACAAGAGAGATAAGGGTTGGAACAAAAGAATTATTACAGTATTTTCAATTGATTCATAAGGTTTGCCCTTGGTTCCCCCTAGAGGGTTCTATAGATACCAAGAGGTGGAATAGAGTAAGAGATGCTTTAAAAGATTATTATAGAGTTTTTGGTCCAAAAAAGGTTCCTGTGACCACCTTTACATATTGGAATTTAATTTCTGAGCTGCTTGCCCAGAGGCATGCAGACCCTCAGGTTGAGGAGACAGTTACACTAGGTGAGGCTGCCCTGTGCGACTCCGTTAAATCTACCTCAAAACCATCCTCAGAAAAATCTGAAGCCTCTAATTTCTCAGATGCAGAGAATGATGGCCTGTTAGAGGTCCTCATACATGGTGATCTGCCTCCACTTCCACCTGTTGACATGATCAGCAGGTCCCAGGATGGCAGCCCGCTACTCCCTGTGCCTCCATGGCAAATTGGGGATTCATATAAGCCTTTAGAAACAACCTTAACTCTGAAAAGCTTGCAGCTGCACAGCAGCTGGTGCAGGACCAGTTAGATGCAGGCCACATTGTTCCTAGTAATTCCCCTTGGAACACACCTATCTTTGTTATCCGGAAAAGGTCAGGGAAGTGGAGGCTGCTACAAGACCTTAGGGCGATAAATAAGACAATGGTCTTAATGGGGCCCCTACAACCAGGCCTCCCCTCACCCAGTGCCATTCCTTTGGGATTTTTAAAAATTGTCATAGATCTTAAGGATTGCTTTTTCTCTATTCCTTTACATCCAAAGGACCAAAAAGAACACTTTTGCCTTATTTCCAAGCTGTCTCAGACCTAATAATTCAGGGTAGAAAGCAAGGAAAATGTCACTTTGGCAAAGAACCAGATATTATCATTCAACCTTTTACAAAAGACCAAATAGATTGGCTACTTCAGAGTACTGAAGTGTGGCCTATTGCCTTAGCTTCCTATTCAGGGACTATTGACAATCATTACCCTCCAAATAAGCTAGTTGACTTTGCTAATCGTCATCCATTTATATTCCCTAAAGTCACAGCTTTGCAACCCCTTCCAGGTGCCCTGGTTTTATTCACTGATGGCTCATCCTCCAGAAGGGCTGCTTATGTATCTCAAGACAATGTTTCTACCCTCCAGGCAAACACTTCCTCCGCACAATTAGCAGAGTTAGAAGCTATTCTTGCAGCCTTTGCTGCTTACTCTAACCAACCATTTAATTTGTATACTGACAGTGCTTACCTTGCTCAGTCTGTTCCATTATTAGAGACTGTTGCTACTATCTGTCATGCTTCCCCAGCTGCAAATCTGTTCAAACAATTACAATGCTTCATATGGCTTCACCGTCATAAGTTCTTTATTGGTCATCTGCGAGCTCATTCCAACCTCCCAGGGCCTCTTGCCCAAGGAAATCATTTGGCTGATGTTGCTGTACGAGCACAGGTTTTTATGGCTCAGGACTCCAAGGTGTCTGAGGCCCAACAAGCCAATCAGCTACACCACCTCAATGCTCACACCCTCCGCCTTCTCTACAAAATTACCCGTGAGCAAGCCAGACAAATTGTAAAAAATTGCCCATCTTGTGCTATCCACTTACCTGTTCAACACCTAGGAGTCAAACCTAGAGGTTTAATTCCTAATGCCTTATGGCAAATGAATGTTACCCATTTCAATGAGTTTGGCAATCTAAAATATGTACATGTTATTATTGACACTTATAGTGGCTTCATTTTTGCCACTCTCCAGACTGGAGAAGCTGCTAAACACATTATAGCCCATATGCTGTCAGCCTTCTCAGTTCTGGGATGTCCTCAACAGCTTAAGACCGATAATGGCCCTGGCTATACCAGTACCTCCTTTGCTCAATTTTGCAAGAGCCTTAATATCCTCCACATCACAGGTATACCTTATAATCCTCAGGGACAAGACATTGTTGAACGTGCGCATCGTTCTCTTAAATTCACCATAGATAAAATAAAAAGGGAGACATGGTACCCCACCCAGGGGTCCCCTAGAAATGTACATTCACATGCTCTTTTTATTTTAAATTTTCTGACCCTGGATGCTTCAGGCTGCTCCGCAACATCTCGGTTTTGGCATACTCAGACTCAAACATGGTTTGCATCTGTTTTATGGAGAGACCCACTAACCAATGTGTGGAATGGCCCTGATCCAGTCCTTATCTGGGGACGAGGTTCAGTGTGTGTTTACTCTCAACAAGATAGAGAAGCTAGATGGCTACCTGAATGCCTTGTAAAGCAAGTAGACAGTTCTTCAAAGACCCCATGTAATGCCCAGGAATTGTTGTACTCTAAGAAAGTAGCTTCATCATTTTGTGTATTATAGCAAACCTATACCGCGGCTTACTAAATGTTTTTTTTTTTTCTTAACTGATATGTTAAGTGACCCAATTGATATGTTGAGCAATACTCTCCCCTGTAAAGAATTGCAAGAATTTCACTTAATTGAGATGTTAATCACGGAGCGGCCCTCTACAAACAAGAAGAGTGGTGCTAAAACAAGCTAACAAGGGCTGTTAATCACCGGTAGGCGCCTCTATTCTTCGCTAAAGAACTAAAGAAGACAAGAAGGCCCACTAATTTACACATTGTTTGAAGTAGCTTGTTTATATGCAGGGAGATTTGCCCATGAGTTTAACCTTTTTACCTAACCTTAGTTACTCTTCCCACAAGATAGATACTCGCCGTTTTCCTGTTCTGTAGCGCGCCTTATTGCCTCCCCCCACCCACCTATCTGGGCCATAAAGAATTTGGGTTTCTGGTGACCTCTCCCCGACCTGGTGATGATCTGTCATAAGATGAGCCGGCCCCAATTTTAGGAACTGCTTAGCTTAAGAGAAATTACCGGGTAACGCTATGGCCCAAACCCCGATCGGTGCTTTCCTTTTGTTCTGTATGTATCAATGGGTTAGATATCAGATCTTTGTAAAACTTAAGTTCCAGCATCTCATAACTCGTGACCCCTTCGCACTCACTGGCGAAGACAAGCTGTCCTGGGATAATTAACTCTCCACTTTCTTCTCCAAATATTGCTGCAGATGTGCCACTCTGAGATAATGTCAGTCTGCAGGATGGGAGTAATTTGAGCAACAACAGGAACTCCCGGGACTGTCAGAGCTAAGTGGACAGCAATACAGTTTCCAGATGCGGGTCAACAGGTTTAATGGCCTTACAGGTTTCCTCCCCACTTTCCCTTACTTTTAAAACCCCCTTTCCCCAGTCTTGGGCGCGCAGTCTTTGGGTCGATCCAGGAGAGACTGTGCCGCCAGGACTGGCTCAATAAAGCCTTTGCCACTTAAGTTTTGGACTCTTGTTTCCGTGGACTTTATACCGGGGCCCACGTTACAACAGGAATAATGTTATTTCCTGAGGCACAATCCCCTGTGTTCTCTTACAGGTGACACATCTCCCTGGAGCCTTATGCTGCTTAGCCAGCCTTCTTGAGCCACACCACACCCATGGTGAATTTCAATCCCTGCCAAACAGACTACAGAGCAAGGGGTTGTTGATGGCATAGTACCTGTCAAAGGCCATCATGGCCAGCAGCACACACTCAACATCTGCAAAGATGCAGAATGTAAGAAAGTGCAGAGCACAGCCCAAGCAAGGGACTAAGTTCTCCTGGTCCATGAAGTCCACCAACATCTTGGGTCTGATTGACAGGGAATAGCAGAGGTCACAGAAAGACAGGTGGCTGAGGAAGAAGTACATGAGTATATGCATGTGGGGATCCATTGTTGGTAACATTAACTTTCCAAAAATTGCTAAGAGATCAATGAGATAAATGAAGAGAAAACTGATGAAAGTGTCATTCTGACATCTGTGTTATCAGTAATTCCCAAGAAAATTAATTTATTGAAGGTTGAACAATTTCCCTTGTGCATTCTTATTACTGTATAAACTTGAAGAACTTACAGATACAATTAATTATTATGTAAATTGCAAAATATTTGCAAAACAGAATAACACTTATTTCTGTAATTTTTAGCCTCATAAAACACTCATTGTGTGCTTTTTGCAACAATAAAAATCATCATTTTGATAGTGTTTGAGAAATTTTGAGTGAACTCTAAATATGCATCATAACACATGTGCCTTTTTATATTTTCTCTAATTTCTCTGGTTCTTCTATTGCTTTTATTTCATGTAATATATATTTGGTAATCTTAAATATCAGTATAATTTCAAGATAATATCAATGAAGCACACTTTTTATAAAAATAACATTAAGAGAAATGCAGCGTAGAGTTTACTGTTTTCTTAAATTAATCATCAACTGGAAAAATTTACAATTTTTATCCCCTGAAAGATTACTTATGGTTTCAAAACACTGTTTAGTATTGTAGAAGAAATGATATCATTGACAAATTAAACATATTATAATTTTACTCTGTAGTATTTGAAAAGACTGAAAGAAATACCCAATAATTTTTGCCTAAAAATACTTAAGAGCTCATTGCTTACTGTAAATGTAGGCTGGAGATAAAAGATGAGTGCTTTGGTCACTGCAAAAGAAATGTTAAAATACTAGTGGGAAAAACATATTTTAACCCATGCACTTGGATTTTATCACATTTTGTGATTGTATTATTTCATAAAACAAGCAAGTATATATAAATAATTGAAAATAAGATGAAAATCAATTATAAGTTAGAGACCTATAGCTCTGTATCAATCAGGGTTAACTACAGAAATAAATGTAACACAAGATATACAAATGTATAACAACTACAAGACTGGCTTACAGTTGTTAGCCATAAATTTGGATGAGGGAAGTCTGCAGATAGTGTCTCCAGGTTGGTAGCTGGATAGTCCAGCCCAAGGGTTGGAACTTGCCACAGTGTCCCATGCAAGCGCATATCAGGATGCTCATGGTTCTGTAATGGG